ACTGAGCCTCGAGCCGGGCTCCCCACCTGCCCGCTGCGCCCGCTCAGAGCACACGGACCCATGCGGTGTCGCCGTCCTCTCGGCCGAGGCCAGCGGAGTGGAAACTGTGCATGGACCCCAGGGTGCTGCTTCCCAGGAATCGCCACCGAGGTGCGCACTGGGGTCTCCGCGCCCCGAGTCGCCTCAGCTTCGCACCTGCTTTTCCTCAGGAGCCGGGCGGGCCCGAGGCAGAAGGTGCTCCCGGACACCCTGCTGTTCACCTCCTGGAAGGCTGCTGGCAGTTGTTCCGTATTTCCACCACCCGACTCTTTTTAATAACTGTACGTGATCACGTATTTGTTCTACCTGCCCGTCTTCTAAACAGGTGGGCCCTGCGTGTAGTTCATTCTCATTGTTAGATCTCGCCTTCTGCAAGTGTCCCCAACCTGCAATAAACCCTTCCCTCTTCAGAAGAAAGCCACCGGGGGTGGGCAGAGGATTCTGTGTGGTTGCTTTGCAGAGAGCGTGGGGTGACCAAAGCACACCTCCAGGCTGAGGCCAGCAGGGAAAGGACGGGGCTCAGGAGGAACCGGCGGAGGCAGATGTGGCTCAGCTCGAGTCTGTGGTCACACAGGGGCATGGGAACCCCTGTGACAGCTGCTCCGGAGTCAAGGCCACTGGCTCATGGCTCAGACGTCACGGGAGATGGGAGTCAGGGTGGCCGTCCTGTCTGTCACCTCCCTCAGGAGGCGGTGTCTCTGTGCTCACTCCGCACTGCCCTCGGTGCTGTCCCTTTGCCCATGTCTGGGATGCGCCGGCCTGGCCACTGCCTGGCATCTGTTCACACTGCCAGTGCTTCAAACCACGCGGTCTGGCTGCTGATGGAGGGAGAGCACTGGGCTGGCGCTGCCCGGGTTGTCCACATGCCAGTCCTATGTGGGGGGCTTCCCGGGTCCACAGCTGTGGCAGAGACGAGCTGCGGGGGCGGGCCAGCTGCAAAACTGTGAGGTCCAGGCCTGGTACATTCTGCCTGCGACTGCCCTGACTGGTGAGAACAAGCTCTCTTGAAGTTTTCTGTGGGAATGTTTTCTTTCCTAGAAAGACAGGGCTGATGCACGGGGGGTGGGGGGATCAAATGTATGGTACTGGCATTTTTTAACTTCATTGCAAGCTGGGTGCTGATTGCTGTGAGTTCAAGGCCGGCCTGCACTACATAATGAGACCCTGTCTCAAGTGTTGCAGTAAAAGACACACTGGCCTTAATCTCTCTCAAAAGACTGCCTCGCTTTGAACGCACATACTTGTCACTTTCTGAGGCAGTTGTGGAATTCTTCCTTAAGCGTCTGTATGAGGTATGATAAAAAAATGTGGTGAATGCTGCTGCTGCTGCGTGTCATCTGATGAATGGCGAAGGAGGCTTGTGAAAACCTTCAGTGTATCCTCATCCACCTATTCACCCGATTGGGCACTGTGCGGCTTCCAGCTTTTCTCCAAAGTCAAGATGACCATGAAAGGTAAATGGTCCTTGTAGCAGCCAATACAGTGCAACTGGACAAGAAAGACGACCTCCACAGTGGCCACAGGACAGACTTGAGTCACTGCAGGAAACTGGATGCAGCTTGAGGCCATCATGTTAAGTGAAGTAAATCTGACAAATGAGCTTCAATACTGCATGAGAAACCCACAATAGAAAGCAAAAGAAAAGGTAGATCAAAAGTAGGGAGCCAGCTCTTTCTCAAATGGGAAAGGGGTCAACAGATGGAGTGGAGGAGAGAGGGGAGGAAAAGGAATGAAGGTGTGTGATACGCCAGCTCCCCACGAGGAGAGGATTGTGATCCTTGTGTACACGTGCACCAGTAAGAGAAGAGCTAAAAACGAAGCCAGTGATACAGCAGTTGGAAAACAAGTGGCAGGAATGATGCGATAAGCATGTTCAAAGCAAGGGTGGTAATTTGAGTGGGGTTTGCCCATTTATTGGAATACCTTTTTAAAAATTCACTGTTTGTCATACTTTGTGAAGACTAGTGACATGGGGAGGGGACAAGTCCCCGGCCGCCTGTCGGAGCCTGACACCGGCCCTCCCTGGAGCTCCGAGGTGCACAGCTGGGAAGCAGGTGTCGCCTGGCAGCGCCAGCCTGAGGTGCAGAGGGAGGCGCCTGGCCTGGCATCGCTGCAGCCTGTGGAGGTTGACACACAGGACGCAGGCCTGCTCGTGTAGGTACGCTCCCTCGGAAGCCTGGGGAGGCCCACGGGGCTGACGGAGGGGACCCAGAGTCACAGGAGAGTTGGAGCCATGGAGCAGGTGAGGGCTCCCCGGCTCCAGAGCCCGCATTCCGGGGATGTAGACGCCGTCTGTCATCAGGGTCCATGGTGTCTACATAGTGACCCTGCCCACTTGTTGAGCACATGTTCCTTAAAGCTCTAATGCTGTCTCAGAATGCAAGTGCTATCCAGCTGGTGCAGAGCGAGGGGCTGTCATTGTCCATGTGTGGTCAGAGTCTACAGAAACAGCGTTGGTGGATAGAGGAAAGGGGTGACACGTCCTCCCTTAAGCCCTGGGCTTTCCTTTTTCAGGAAGGTGGCTGGGACGGAGATGTGGAGGCTGTGCCTTGAATGCGTTTGGCTGTTGCTGTGGCCAAGTCGGTGAAACAAACGAGATGGGACAGTTCAGGACGTTACGTTTACTGAGAGAAGACATGGGTTAGTCCTGTCTTGGAGTAAGCTCTAAAGTAGTTTGCTGTCCCGTGGAAAGTGCAAAGCCACATATTCATCACTCCTGTTGAGTACTGAATTTAATTTTTTTAGGGGAGCGGGTAAAGTTCATTTGTATAGAGTTCTTTATTTAATATGTCCAAATGTATCCAAACTATCTCAACATGTGATCAGCATCAAAAAATGACTGTGATATTTTACCGCCCCTTGCACGACATCTTTGAAATCTGGGTTGTATTTATAGCAGTTCTGTCTGTACCGGAACCATTTCAAGGGCTTAAATCCACAGGTGCGTGTGGCTGCTGCACGGCCGTGCAGCTCTGCACACCACCCCGGCCGTCCTGTCCTCGTCCTGGAGGCATCGGCAGTGATCTCGGCTGCCATCTCTGACCTGTGGTGTGAACCAGAGCCGAGTCCTGGTTCTGGACTCACTGCGGGGGTGCGGCTCACGGTTTGCAGCGCCCGACTCTGCCTCAGTTGGTCTCGGCCTGGTTCCCGAGACCCCTGGGCAGCACTGGCTGAGTGCGGCCGGCACAGCCCTGCCAGGGTGCAGCTCTGACTGGGGGGCCTTGGCAACAGTGCCCCGAAAGGGACAGGCTGAGTGCAGAGAGGGTGTGAAGCCCTGGCGGCCAAGGAGAGAACTGGAACATGCTTGCTAGAGGAGACTGGAGGCGCACTGCTGTGTCGGGCTGTACTGGGAGTGTGCGGGCTTCATTTCCCGATAGTTGCTGGGCTGAGCAGGTAGGAATGGCCTTGGGTGCCACGGTGAGGTGAGACTAATGAAGGCGCTCAGTGTGGAATCCGCTGCTTGGTAGGGCTGTTGGAAGTGCCCGGGTCCCAGCTGACAGTGGACGGGCTTTTTCTTCCTGTCTCCCCTGAGCCGCATGGCTCTGTGAGCTGGGAACAGACGCCCATCTGGTGAGGAAGGAAGCTCGGGGCTTCTGGCCTGGATCCCCCGTCCAGGATGCGCCCTCGGGTGGGCGGAAGCACATCAGTTGGGAGGAGCCCAGTGGCCGAGAAGCTGCAGGAACAGGTGCTGAACTGAGTCCCGTGGCAGAGGCAGAGCTGCAGCTTCTGGGGAGGCTGCTCTCGGCCCCTCCCTGAGGGCAGAGCTGTAGTGCAGGGCTGCAGCGGGCAGGACACTCGGACTGGCAGAGCGACCCCCAATTTGCCAGCCTTGGGCGAGCACCTGTCAGGGCTCAGGTTGAAGCCAGGCCTGGAAAACGCCTTTCAAGTTACCCAAGTCCAAAGCTGCTTCCTGCAGGTATCATGAAATAACTGTCCTGCCCAGCTCTCTCACAATCTCAGTTTTGGCAAGGAAAAATATTCCTGCATTTGAGGCAAAAAAATTCATTTCAATCCTAGAAGTCCCAGGGATGCTCGTAGCGGTCTCTTCCTGGAGACAGAGACCGCTGCCTGTGGCTACACCGCCCTCCCTGTGCTGGAGAGGAGGCCCTGCTGGGCCTTATTCTGGTCATAGCAGTGAGGGCCACATCAGTGACATCAGTGTGGTTTGACAGCAAGCCAGGCACGGGCATGCGCCTCCCATCCTGGTGTGGTGGATCTTTCTCTAGTTTAGGTATCTGGGGTAATGCTTGCTTCCAGAAATGAATCTGGGAGAATTGCATCCTTTTCAATTGCATTAAGAGTTTGAGAAGTAGGGGCATCAGGTCTTCTCCAAATTTCTTGTAGAATTCAGCAGTGAAGCCATCAGGGCCTGGGATCCCCCGCTCCAACCCCACTGCCCCAGTACCCGGGATTGAGCTATGAACCTTGCACTTGCCAGGCAGGAGTTATGCCACTGAGCTACATCCCAAGCCCCCTGGGGCTTTTCTTTGTTGGTAAGTTTTTAATTACATTTTCCATTTCATTCACTGGTATCGATTTAGAATTTCTGTTATCTTCTTGATTCAGTTTTGATAATTCATATGTATCTAGGGATCTGTCCCTTCTGTATTTTCTATCTTAGATACAGGTTCTCAAAATGGGTATTGATGATTTTCTGAATTTCCGCAGGATTTGTTGTGATTTCACCTTTTTCATTCCTAATTGCATGGATTTGAGTCTTTCATTTTTTTGATAAGTTTGGCTAAGGGTTTGTCAATTTAAACTTCCAAAGAACCAACTCTTTGATTCATTGATTCTTTGTATTATTTTCTTAGTGGTTTATAAAATCATGATGGATCTTAGCTGGCTGGTATACAGTATAGAGCCCTTTGGTCATTTGTAAGATTCAGACCTTGCTCGTCTATGGACATCTCAGTAAGTGAGAAAGACTTCGTGTTATCTGTAGAATCTCTTTCTGCTGAACCAGTTTGGGGTATTCTTTGTGTGTTATCTATGTTTAAAAGCTAGAGGCGAAAGAGATATTTCCAACGATTCAGTTACAAATTCCATTTTTTTTTTCCCAAAATGAATCATTCAGTGTAATGTTGGTTTTTAGAAAATATCTAAATGTGTAGGAAAAAGGGGTGGGGGAAGCCACGCAGGCAAGATGTATGGAAACATCACAGTTCACAACATACAAAGAGTTTATTTATGTAATACAGACCTTTTCTCAAATATTTTTCACAGATCTCCATACAGCAATCTACTAGAAAAGTAGAATTATACAACACCAAAATAGCATTGCTTCTCAGTACAAATCACTAATCAGAAGGAAGGTGGAGATGGTTTAGCACAGGGGAAGGAAAGGGGTGTTGCTGGCAGCACCTGGTGGCCTCTGCTCTCGAACCCAGGGCCTGGGAGGACTCTGCCACCCCAGGGCCAGGTGACCTGCGTGGGCTTTCAGAGAGAACAAAAGCTTCAAGCCCAAGAGCATTTCCAGCATTTCATCTTGTGCTATGAGGACGACAGATCAGGAAAATGGTAAATAGTTCACACTTACTGTAACTTAGAGCCTTTACATTTACCACGCAATAAAATAACCTCCCCCACAACATAATTTTCTAGGTCTAAGACATGCTTGAAGAAGAATATAGAAATAATTAACTGAGATATTTTAATTTACATTTGCTATAATTTAAACATTACTATTTAAATCCCAGAAATTTGAGCAGTAAAGAAACACAATTGTTTGGAAAAATACAGAACTGAAAGTACAGCATAAAAGTCCCCGTCCCAGTATTAGAACTCCTTTCCCCACTATGTTTCTCAAGATTACAGATATGTGGGAAATGTGGTTTTCAGAATATAGCTAGAATAGTGGGCTTATCTGCTCCACCGTATGGTTTCCATAACTGGTGAAAATAGAGTTCTCATTATGACTAAAAATATAGATTTTTCTTTAAACTACAGAACCCAGCAACCAGTTTGCTTTGCTGTCCCCCTCCCCCCAAAATCAAGCAAAGTCTACAAAAATAGCAGTGAAATTTTAAAAATATTTTGCTCAGTCAAGCAATTTTAAGTTACATTCAGGGGCAGTGGCTATTTCCGCTGGGGTCCTTGCCCTGCTCAGCCCGGGGCAGGGCCAAGGCACAGCCGTCACCCTCAGTAGCGGGTTTGGTATTCATGATGCCACCGGTTGAAGTCGTTGTAGAACAGGACAATGCTTCCCGAAGCCATGCCAGAAATGATGCACCTGGGAGAGGCCAGAGGGAGAGGTTTACACGCCTGGATCCCTAAGGAAGGGCCGCCTACCCACGGCCCAGGAGCTGCCCTTTGGGAGCAGTGCGGCCGGCCCGGGCCCAGGGAGGTACAGGCTGCCTCCGACACTGCCCCGGACCCAGCGTGGCTTTCTGGTCCTGCAGCCAGAGTCCCCAGAGCCTACCGGACCGCCTCACTTCTGAGGGGACCTGGACTGCTGCTGAGGACGCAGCACACGTCCATGGCTGGTACAGAGAGCACAGGAGGAGCGCTAGCCATCCCTTGGGCTGGGGCCTGGTCCTCGTAACACGGGTCCCTAAGACGGGAGCTGCTGCTCAGAGAGGGTGCGGGGACGGGGACAGCCGCGTGCTGAGTGGCTGAGGGGCCACTGTTTGTTTTGTTTGTAGAGGTGGTGGTATGTGTGATTGAACTCGGGGCCTTTGCACCTAGCTATACCCCCAGAACTTTGATTCTGAGACAGGGTCTCGCCAAGTCACCAATTTTCCAGGTTGGGCTGCAGCTTACGATCCTCCTGCCTCAGCCTCCGAGTGCTGGGGTCACAAACGTGCTCCACTGTGTACTGGTCTTTCTCGCAGCTGTTCTAAGGTCCTTTTCTCAATTGTTTGGTCAGGACCAGGTCTTAGGAAGTTCCAGCCAGTCCCTTCCTAGTGCCTCACAGCAAAACTGAGAGCTACGCGTGTCACTATGAAAAGTCAACACAAAAGGTGGTAACCAGGAAAACAGAAGCAAAACTAAGGCATATGGAAATAGCAAAAGTAAGTCTTTCCCTATTAACTATTACTGTATATGCAGAGAATGAAGTTTGATCTAAAGGCAGAGATTAGTAGAAATGGGCAAAAACATCCTTGAGGGCTGGGGATTTAGCTCATTGTTTCCCCACCTGCCTCAAAATTGCAAGGTCCTGAGTTTGACTCATTTGAGAAACATGAATTACACATGCACATTAAACGTGCGTCCCATTATATGTGGGGCAAATACTGAGGACTGAAGGGAGGAGAGTGTCACACTGACAGGCAGGACGGCAGCCGTCAGGAATGGGTGGAAGACAGCAGAGAAGGGAACGAGGACAGGAGCCTGGGAAGCTGGCTGCACCTGACGCACATCTAGAACACCCACCCACAGCAGCAAAGTACACAGTTGTCTCCGGCGTGCATGAACCACTCTAGGGTAAAGCATGTATTAGGCCTCAAAACGAGTCTTCATGATTCAGCATGACTGAACTCATACAAAACTCTTCTGATCGTAATACTAAAACTAAAATCAGTAACAGGAAAACTGGAAAGCTCACATATCTGCAGAAATGGAATGTTTTAGCTCGCTTTCGCTATGAACAAAGTACTTGAGTGTCAGCTTCAGGTTTCACTCCATGGTCAGCTGGATGAAGGGAAGGAACATCACGGCGGACGGCCCGGGAGCAGGTACGGTCCCTGCTGTGTCTGCGTCCGGCCGTCCCTCCACGGCCTGTGTTCAGTGGGGCTGGATCTACAGCTGTGATGCTGGGATTAAGGGTGTGTGATTATGGAATGAGAGTTCTGGTGGGATTCAGGGTGGGTGTGAGTGCTGCTCACCCTCAGGGCAGGTAGCCTGGATGCAATGGAAGGGACAGAAAGAGGGTCATCCCTGGTCATGTACTGCTTGCTTGCTCGCTGCCTTCTGCCTGCCACAGTCGGATTCTCCTCTTCAGGCCCCTCTGCCATGCCACCCTGCCTTGGAGCCCGTCAACTGTGAACCAAAACCTCCATGAACTACCAGTCAGAGCCACCTCTCCTCCAATCGTAGGCGTCAAGTATTCTGTCTCAACAAGGAAGAACGTAACTAAGACATCCCTAAGGCATGAACCACCCAGACACACCCCGGCGTGTGCTTCACTGAGCTCCTAGGCATCCCTCAAACCAAGCTGACAAGATTAACTATCATATTGAATGAAAAATCATGAAGAGAATTACAAAATACCCTGAGATAAATGAAAACACAGCATGCCAAAAATGACAGGATGCAGCTAAAGCACTACTAAAATAGAAATCTTTGGCTGTAAACCCATACACTTAAGGAGAAAATCTTGAATCAATAACCTAACTTCATACCATAAGGAACTACAAAAAGAGCAAACTAAATCCAAACATAGCAGAAAGAGGGCAACAACTGGAACAGATAAAACTAAAATTGGTTCTTTGAGAAATTTTAGCTACACTAGGGAATAAAAGAACTTCAGAAAGGAAAGTGAGGGAAATAATAAAATACAGAAACTATTAGGAACAACTACATAACAGCAAATTGGACAGCCAAGATGAAACAGATAAGTTCTTAGAAACAATGTACCAAACAGAAAATCTGAACAGATATATAGCTAGTGAATCAGTAATAAACCTCCCATTAAAGAAAAGCTCTGAGCTATCTGGCTTCATTGGAGGAGGATTAACACCAATCCTTTTCAGACTTTTCCAAAAATGAATAGGAGAGAACACTTCCTAACTCACTGTGTGAGTCCAGAACTTCCCTGGTACCAAAGAATGAAAGAGACACCACACTATCCATTACAAACCAATATCCCTTATGGTAAAAGGGTTATACACCATGACCGAGTGAGTCCCCTCCGAATTTAAGGAGGATTCAAGATGCAAAAACAAAACAAAACAAAAAACATATACTACATTTAAAGGATAGCAAAAACCCCCATATTTCAATTGATAAAAGGCATCTGAAATCTTTTCATTATTTTAAAAAACACTACAGACTAGGGCTAGAAGTAAAATACTTCAAGTGAAAAAAAGAGCATTTATGAAAAAGCCTACAGTTGATATCACAATGGTGACTCAAATATTTCCTCTGTGATCAGGAAAAAAAAATGATGCTTACTTTCACCACTTTTATTCAACACAATACATGAAGGTCCTACACAGAAAATTCCATCAGAAAGAGATAAAAGTATCTAAATTGGAAAGAAAGAAAACGGTCACAGATCACCTTGTAAGTAGGAAATCCGATTACACAAATACAGAGTTAATAAATGCAGTCAGGAAATTTGAAGATATACAACCAACATAAAATAGCATTTCAATACACTAACAATCCAAAAGGGAAATGAACAATTCCACTTATGAAAGCATCAGAAAGGCAATAAGGAATAAGTTTAACCAAAAAAGAAACAACTTGTATACTGAAAACTATGCAGCACTGCTAAGTTTAAGACAAGTAAAAGGAAACACATCACATGTTCATGGATTTGAAGACGGTACTGTCAAGATACTGCAGTATTAACCCAAAGGTCTGTAGATTCCCTGTGATTCCTATCCCAATTACTTTTCCCCCTGAACCAGAAAAACCCGTCCTAAGTTTTATATAGGGATCCCAAATATCCAAAATGATCTTGGAAAAGAAAACAGTGGGCGGCCTCACATTTTCTGACTGTAGAACTTACTCCAAAGCTGCAGTAGTCAAATCAGTGCCATACTGGCAGAAAGACAGGCAAGAGAAGAGAGAGTTTAAAAGCTCACAAGTGCACAGTCAGTTTCCTACAGGGTGCCAAGACCATTCAGTAGAGGAAGGCGGTCTTCAACAAGTAGTGCTAGGAAAAGTGGGCTTCTACATGGAAAACTTACTACCACGATGCGCTGCAAAACTCTTAGAACACAGAAGAAAAGCTTCAAGACCTTGGATCATGCAGTGATATCTTAGATAAGACACAAAAAGCATAACTAACAAAAGAAAAATTAGGTTTCATTAAAATTGTCTGTGTGTTAAAGAACACTGAGGAGAATGAAAAGCCAGTCATTACTAATCGTTAGGAAAGTCTAGATCAACCCATAATGGGAGATGGCGTCATCTCCACAAGGGCAGCCACCGCGTAGACCTGAACCTGATGAGTGTCATGAGCGCGTGGGGAGACGGGAGCCAGGCACTGCTGTGGGGAGTGAGAAGTAGTGCCTCCGCGCCGCGGCAGAGTTTGGGAGTCCCTCAGGACGGCCATGGGACCCAGCGATTCCGCTCTGGAAACATACCCCAAAACTGTAGCGAGGGACCGGAATGTGGATGTTAGCCCACGCTGAAAGCAAACTGTACGTGACATCCAAAGGTAGAAACAACCCAAGTGCCAGAGAGGAGTAAGAACGCGGCGCTTTCTCAGGAGTGGCTGGACCCAGACTGTGTGACGCTGTGTGGCTGGCTCATGGCACAGCGACAGGCTCCAAGGCACTAGGATGAGGGCAGGGAGTGCCGCACGCCTAAGTAGTCCAGATAAGGAAAAGGGGCAGAGAGACACGGTTAAGGTCCCCTGTTGCTTCTGCTGTGTTTGCCTGCCGTGAACCCTTCTCCTGTGCAGTGCCCCTCTGCCATGCTGCCCTCCTTTGGAGCCCGCTGATTATGGACAGAAACCTCTACACGTTGAGCTAAATAAACTTTTCCTCTTTAACTTTGGGTGTTGGCTATTTTGTCTCAGCAACGAGAGAAAAGTCACTAAGATATTTATGAAGAAAGATGGTTTAAAGAGGAGGCTTCCTGACAGTGTGACCGAGGCCTTTCCTCCTTAAGTAAAGCCTATTTCTTGGAGAGCCAAAAACTCACTGGCTGTCGGGATGCAGGAGCTGGCGCTGCACCAGCCTCGGCCCGTGGGAGGAGCCCTCCCTGTCTGACTACTGCTCGGACCTCAGCTCCAGTCTTACCTCTGGTCGTAGGACAGCGCCATGGCCCGGATGCCTGCGTCGCAGCCAGGGTAGGCAAAGAGCTGCTTGAGGTCGGACACCTGCCAGACCCGCACCACGCCGCTGTCTCCTCCTGTGAGCAGGTACTGCCCGTCCCGACTCAGCTGCAGGGCCTGCGAGACACAGTGAGGCTTCATTAGTGGTGGGTTAATCCCTCCGGGTGCCCGGCCACTGCCAGGCTTCTCTTCATGTCCTTAGGAAATGGGGTTGCAGAAGACCTGCCATTTGTCAAAAACCAATAGACAGGGTCAGGCAATGCCTGGGGTCTTCATTTTCTTCTTTTCCATTTCTTTGTGGGCATGAAGGAGCCATGCAAGCCGAACAACCTGTGTCGTGGATGGGGCCTGCCTGGAGGCGTCGGCACCTTCCCTCAGCCTGCTGGGCTCTGAGCACAGCTTCCGGCCTGGGGACAGCCCGCATCCAGCTGCCTTTGCCCTGAAGGTCAGCCCCGCTCTGCCCCACAGCGCCAGGCAGTGTCCTGGTCGCCCCCTGCCGTTTGGAGCAGCCAGTGCAGACCTGGAATTTGTTCTTTGATCCTGTAAAATAGGCACTCTCATATGAAAGCCTGTGGTTCTAATGCAGACCACTGCTGTTTCCTATTTTTTCTGCCTGGTTTTACATTTTTTAATGGTTGGGGGAAAGTCATTCTCATGATACATTAATGTTACAGGTTCCAAATTGGAATGCCCATAGATAAGGTATCAGGAGCCAGCCACACACGTGTGGCCACCTGCACGTTAAACACAGAAAGCACAGAGTCCGCAAAGCCTAATTATGTCCGCCCCACCTGTACCTGCCAGAGAAGTGTGCACACTCCTGACATGCAGGCCCTGTGCTACCTCGGCAGCCACCAGCCCCTGTACCGACCGACCCTATGCCAGTCCCCTCCCCTAGGGGACAAAGCCTGCAAACACTGGGGCCTGCCGCCTGTCCGCCTGCTCATGGTGGCCATGGGAATACAGGCCGTACTGCCAGCCACAAAGAACCAGCTCTTATTTCTCAAAATTCTGTTTGTTCTGTTCTATACTTGAGTTTTAGTATAACTGTATCCCAAAATTATAGAAAAGTAGGTACTGTTTCATACCCATTGGTTCACAGAAATGGCAACCTTAGCAGGCTCTCAGGTACACAGATGCATCTAAGAACCCATGTGTGGGAGATGACTAAGATGTATTCTCTATGTCTTATTTTTTAATATGAGTAAAAATCAGTATCTTTGTGCCATTCGTCTTACAGCAAGCTCTGGAGATATCTGCAAAGTGCAAAGAAGACTAGACAATAATTATCTGTTACAATTGTAAAATTCAGCCGATGAAAATCCATTAACCTCATGGTTGTGGTTCACTCAAATTTTATAGTTGAGGCTTTTTACTGGGTAACTGCTATATTAAAACAAATGAAAACCATTAATTTTTAAGTCTTTGTTCTAGTAAAAAATCTCTCATCTTCTGTCTGGAATGAAAACCTGGACATTTAGGACTATATTCAAAACATCTACCTAATGCACCAGGTACCTCCCAAAGTGAGAAACTGTTTTGTAGCCTCTCGAGAGATCCCGTGGGCTTCCTGTGGCTGACAGCCCAGGTGGTGTCTCCCTGCAGGGGGCTGTCAGGCGCAGGCTGGAGGTTCTAAGAGTGCCTCAGAGCTGTGCTGATCTCCGAGGAGAGTGGCCGGGGTTTTTAGGAGGTACCTGCAGGCCAGTGCAGTCTGTTGGGGACAACCCCATCCTAAAGCAGCCCCAGGAAAAGGAAAGAAACGAGTCCCTGTGGGTGGAACGGCGGTTATCCTTTCATTATGACAAAATAACTCCACTGCCCCGGACAGGCTGCCTACTGTAAGTCATTCATTAAGACATCTAACCCTTGTCTCGCTGATGCACTGTGATGTGCATAGCCAAAATGCCACTGAACAATCTGCTTGTATGATAAAAACAAGTGGGATGCCTTGGTCAGCACAGAGCTTCCCCAGGCTGCCTGCAGGGCACTTGGTATTTCAGAGAAACTCCATCTCTGGTCTGGGCTGGTGACTGGTTTGCTCCGCGCCTTTCTTTGCACGGGCTCAGGGCAGAGCTGGAGATCCCTGCCCTGGGAAGCTGGTTCCCAGCCAGCAGCTTCCGCCCTCGCTTCCCAGGTGCTGAGCTGTGAAGGCGGCGGGCTCTGGAGCCGGGGGCAGGCAGTTGCTCATTTTAAGCCAACTCGACTTAATCACACAGTTGCCACTTGCAAGTTAGTATGATGAAGTGCAGGAGTGTGGGGGAGAGGCGATGGATGTGTAAGCCCGGGGTCCAGGGGGAGATATTACAGGGGAGCCTCCTGCCGGCCTCCAGGCCCAGCCTCGGGCCTGACGGAAATGCCATGGAAACGCCTGGGGCCCGCCAGGGACGTCAGATTATTTTACAGATTTATTAGTGTAGCTGACAATATAATCACAACTCAAAGTGACAGATTATCAGCATTATGACTGTAAAGAAAAGAGAGAGGAAAACCCTCTGATGAGTACTTGGTTTAAGTGAAGTATTATGGGAAAGAAGGGAAAAATAAAAGCTAGTGTGTGTCTGGCATATGCCCGTGCGCGGAGGCTGGTGGGAAGGCATGGAACAGAGGAGCTGGGGCTTGGCGGTGACCAGGTGACCCAGATTGGAGCTCTTGTTCCTTGGCGCTTCCTGACCCTAGCGTTTCCTCTCTCACCCCAACACATCCGGGGTACCCTGACTGTGCAGTCTCACACCCTCCACCCCCTTGCTGGGAAATGGCAGCGAGGAGACAGCACCTGTGGCCTGGGGAGACGGGCACAACCCTGCAAAGCGGCTCCCCGGGAAGGTCTGGGTGGGACCGCTTCCTAGGTACCGGTGTGTCTGAGGCCCAGCTGCCTCAACCTGACCTGTCTGAGTCTTGCTGTCTGGGGCTGCGTCCGGTCAGCCTCAGCCGCTAACCACGCACCTGCCTGTTAACTGTGCAAAGCGGCCCATGGTAAGCGTAAGCTAGTTTAGCTCTGATACTAGAAAACAACAGTGGGTAGTAAACGTCTCTTCAGATTACAAAAGGAGAATGCACTGCCAGCAAAGCCCCAGCCGGCTCCAGGCCCTAGAGAAGATCCTGCCCACACAGGGCAGCAGCCTCCCCTGGGGCCTGGGCTCAGAAGCGTCAGGAGCGGGCGGGCATCCAAATGCCCTCAGGCCCTCGACGCCTCCAGACAGGTCTCTTCAGGAAGCCCTCTCCGCTCTTGCTGGGACTCAGCAAGGGCAAAACCAAGGCAGCAGGAGAGCCCGCCAGAGACTCACCCTTATGTTGTCATCCGTGTCCACACTGGCCTGGAGTTTGCCGTTCACGCTGAATGTGCAGAAGTGGCCGTTCTCATAGAAGATGACGCAGTGGCCCTCTCTGGAAGCCTGGATGAGTTTCGGTTTCAGGCAGTTTTCAGGACCCTCCAAGGTCCTCAGCAAGTCCCCGTTCATGGAATGTATGAGGCACGGTCCTTCTGAGAAGAGGGGAGAAACAAGGGGCGAAGCGGGTTATGTGGGGAAACGATTATGCGGTGTGACTCAGTGGCAGAGCGCTTGCCTGGCATGTGCTAGGCCCTCAGTTCAGTCTTCATCACTGGAAAAAAATAAAACAGATGGATGTGACCTGAGTCTTTACAGTGTGTATGTGTGTGTGTGAGGGTGCACCAGGGCTTGAACCCAGGGCCTTCACACTGAACTACATCCTCTTAAGTTGTGCAGGCTGGGCTCAAACTTGTGATCCTCCTGCCTCACCCTCCCAGGGAGCCGGGTTACAGAATGTGCCACCAAGCCTGGCTGTGATCTGAGGCTTAAAGGCAGACCAGTCAGAACCATGGCGCCACCCTACTTTGTGAAAACCTTTTGTTTTTGGTACTGGGATCAAACTCATGACTTTGCACTTGCGAGGCAGGCGTGGTGCCACGAGCTACATCCCTGGCCCGGTGGAAAGCTTTTTTAAAACTACCATCTTGCATGTAGGTTATTTTATATCATGTCCTCATGTCTGCCAGCTCTCACCTTCCACAGGAAGAGGCAAGAAGCCAAGTTACACACATTCAGGTTCCTTTTTCAAGAGACCGGAAGTTACACAGAACTCATTATACCAAGAGGTAAAACGAACTGGATGAACTCAGAACAGGACAATTTTCTAACCTAGCATGGTTTCCAGGAGCTCAGCACGCCTTGGCCTTGGCTCCCTCATGGGCCAGTGTGGGAGGAGCCTGCAGGCAGCTCCTGAGGCCAGCACCATCTTCCACTGCTCACCACTCTCCCCAGGGAGTCCTGGTCACCCCTCATCTTGAAAAATAATTCACACGGGGAGCCTTCTGCCACTTTTCCTTGGCAATGAAGTGGTCCCCAAAGCAAGCAGCAGTGTCCCCACTGCAACTCCCAGGGACCCCACAGGGCCCAGATGAGGACAGGGACTGCTGTGCACTGAGAGTATTTCTGTCTCTGAGTATCTGCTCCATGCATAGCAAAGGGCTAGGTACCAAAAACTGTGTGCAGACTTAAGTTCCAAGAGATTACAAGTCAGGCTAGTGGGGTAACGGGTACATGACTGCTTTCCTCCCCAGTTCACTTGTGTCCACATGGACTCCTTTACTGCTCCTTGCATGACTCCTGGAAGCAGCCTTTGGAAATACGGCTCTCAGGTCCTTCTAGGCCATTCAGGGATTTATGCGTTGCTAGTGCTCTCCAATATTAATACAGGCAGGCACCCTGCTTGTGCCCAGCTCCGGTGTGCATAAATTTTCAATCACTTCCTCAATGTCACTGGGTCCCCCAACAGCACAGTTAAACATTTAGTTATCACATCAATTACAAAATACAGTCCATGGCTAGCTCCTCTGTCCACAGCCTATCCCCTCAGAGTTGTGTGACAGCCCCATCCCTCCTCTCCAAGTGTGCAGCTGACTGGTAAGCACAGTTCTGTTGCTCAGTTCGTGCCTGGACAGCAAATGCAGTAGCTGTGTTGCTTCCTTGTCTCCTGGTGATAAACTTGTATGACATTTTACAAAAACAGGTCATGAGAAATGGGTATTGGCCAACAAAGATGAAATGTGAATGGAGAAATGAAATGTGGAAAAGCTGAAAGGGAAACCTCAACTGGATATAACGACATAAGAAAGAGTGGCCACTGTGCTGTGCACAGCACCGAGACACCAGACACAGCTAGCAGGACTGAGCGGAGTGGTGACGTTTACTAGGGAAGTGGTTGTAAAGCCCCTGTGGAGTCTCTGAAGAAGCGGTACCAGAAAGCTCCACATTAAAGGAACTCTGGTGGGCATTTCATGGCACCAAAAGCACAAAAGATAAGCGCTTGGAAGCTAGACCAGACTTAGAAAGGAATGGGACCACGCCCAAAGTCCTAGAAAAGATGCTAAGCCTTTGGATGGAGGCGAAGACTAGGTGATGAGCACAGCTCAAACCGCCTTGAGTTTTCCTCAAGGAAACAAAATGCTTGAATTCTTAGTGTTTCAAATTATAGTGTACTAAGTAAACATTTACTGTTTTTCATGTTCTTACACAAACACATAATACCAACTTTTTCAGTGTTGTAACAAAACTCCTTAGAGACCGTGGAGTAATCAAAATTTCCCATTGATTGAGATCATCTGGCATGGTCTGAGCTTGTGCTGTCACTTTTACAGCCCTACAGTGTGCAAAGCAAGGATGGCCAGAGAATGAGAGTTCATTATGCACGTCTCCTTTGAATCACATACAGTCCAAGCACTCACACTAACTCAGGATATGTGAAAGTACTGGGAACGGGGAGGAAAAAGTCCAATGGTTACAGAATTCTTGTTCTCCATATTACCATGTCACTGACCAGCTACACTGTTCACACAATCGGACTCTTTGCTTCCCACCAGAGAAGCCTGGAGACATGAGATTATGGCCCTGGTTTTATTTCAGAGAACAGATGGAGATGGCCGGGGTTCCAGTGTGGAAGCAATGAATCTGAAACAGCTCTGTTCCTGGCCAGATCCCGACTGTGAATGTGTCCCTCGCTTGGTAGCTCTGGCCCGAATTTGCAGAGAACTGAACACCACCTGGAGCACCTCTCCACTGCCCTCAGTGCCTTTCTGGCCCTGCCTCAGCCCTAGGATTTGAAAGACGGGTCAAGAGTTTCTGTCCAGGTGTGAGATGGAACCCAGTCCAGACAGAGGACAGAAAAATAAATACACAAGACATGCCTTGTTCCTGCCTCATGGAAGTGAGAAAATTAATGGACTGTTATTTGTAAAACACCTTAAACTCTACAGCAGTGCTATGAAAGAGTAATTTTCTTTAGTAATGGAAATGTTTTGTCTCTGTGCTCTCCAATACCATAGCCAGCAGCCCTATGTGAATATAGAGCACTTGAGATATGACTGCTGCCAATAAAGAATGTAACAGTATTTAATTTTTAGCTAATTTAAATTTAAATTTAATTACAATAAAATTTAAGCCACTACAGCAGGCTAACGTTTTAGAGAAAAGGAAGCAACTTCATCTTTGGTAACCGGTTTTAGAAGACACTAAGAAATGTCTACATTTTCGAAAGCCTCAGTTTTACCTTGGGAACCACTTAACACCAGGCCCAGCTCGGCACAGATGGCAGCACACGTGATCTCGTAGTCGTGACCCGTTAGGATGGCCCGAGGAGTGGTGGTCTCACCTGCAGAAAAGACACAAGTGATGAATCAGTTTGAGTTCATGCAGATTAAGCAACAACACACTAATTCCAGTCATGCCTAACCCTTAAACTTACAGTTTGAGAATTTGTCCAAAGTCCTATTTTAAGATTAGATCCCAACTATACGCTAACAGTTTGATTTTGAGGACCACAGGTTGTTCAACGTCAAGGAATCCTTATGGATTATCAAGCAATAGTTGAAAGTTCAGGGTTAAAGATGACAAAAGGTGCATTCTAAAACGCCTCCGATACTTTGCAAATACTAAAAACATGAGCCCCCCATTAGGGAGTTTAGGGATGGATGATATAAAAGTGGGCACTATGGCTTAATTTACATTTCCAAGGCAAGCTTCCCCTGCGTGTCTTCCTCTGTGGGGCCCTGAAACCCCTATGATGAAGACAGTCTGACCAAGGACCCAGGATATCGCAAAGCAGTTCCTCTCTTAAATTCCTGTTTACTAAGTTACATATTTTCCTGATGCATAAAGCATACAGTTTTCTGTGGTTCAAAGGGCAGAAGATGGAAACCTCAGCCCTCACATGTAAATCTTCCAATACTGACTAAAGATTAGGGGAAGAGGGTGGCAAAGGTGACACAGAGGAGTAGCCAATGAGAGATGCTTCAAAACATGTCCACAGGCAGACAGAAAAAGGCATCCTGTGTCTGTCCAAACAAAACTGTACACCACGAAAGGCTGCACCACAGAGAGGACCATAGTGGCTCTGATTCATGCCAAGTCACAAGGATCAAGTGGATTCCATGTTTAGCCCAAAGGACACTAGTGTGAATTGGTCCTCCACCCTTCCAAAGCACCTTCATCGGGGACACTAGAGCAGGCTTCTGATGGCATCCCGAGGCCCTTGATTTGGACTGGTTTCGTGGTACGACTGTAACTATACAATCCAAAAGGGGCAGACGTGCCCAGAAAGCAGGTCCCTAGCACCAGCCGTCCTCACCCCAAACATGTGGCTATCCCGAGCAGTCACCCACTCTGGAGAAAGTGCGGGCAGGTCAGGGACAGTGTCAGAGACCCACACTGCTGGCAGCAACCGAGCCAGCCTCCAAAGTGGTAGCTCCTGCTGGTGGTCCATGGGTCCTCTGCCACTTCGTGCAAACTGCCTGTTCTGGGTGGTGAGGGAGGAAGGCAGCTCTTACTGAATGGGCTGAGACCCAAGGCCCAAGAGAAACAAGGCCTGCGCCCGGTGGGAAGGAGCCCAGTCACCGAGTTCCAGGCCCACCACCCGCAGCCAGAGGCCTTGGGCCCAGCAGCACATCTGGCGGTTCAGCGTGGGATTTCACACAGCCGTGTCCCCAGTGTCCTGTGACTCTGGAGAACAGGGTACTTCTGGAGGTGACTTAAGTCTGGTTCAAGTCTGCCTGCAGCTCAGGGAGAAGGGGAGACACAGACTGAACAGCGGGGTAAAGGGGCACTAGCAGCTTGGTTCCATTTGATTCCACATTTAAAGCTTTGGAGGGCACACCCACCACAGATAAAGAGTTTACCTAATATTCCTAAAACAAACAAACAAAAATTTTGTCATAAAGCCAGTTTTTTCTTAAGAAGTCCATAACTTTGGGGAAAATTTTAAGGAAAGAAGCAAACAATGTAAGCCAATCTGAACGACTTAACTTTCTGTTAGTGATAATTTTTACCACAAAAGCTAGAACTATGCCATGTTTTAAAAAGTTAATGATGCTTTAGCCCTGATCCATGATCCATGGTATCCTCTTTTCCCACGAAGTTCTAAATTCCACAAAACAGCATACAATGTTATTTTTGAAATTACTGTCTAACTACATCTTCTGGCAGCTTTTGAAAATCAGTGGGCGGGTCAAATTGTTATGAGCTAAGGAATACATTCTGTGTGATTTTCCTTTTCTGTTTGCTTTTTTTTTTTTTTTTT